GCATATTATCAGATCACAGTGCAATGGAGCTAGAAATTAACAGCAAAAGAAATCATAGAAACTATGCAAACATATGAAAATTAAAGAACAAATTTTTGAATAATCAGTGGGTCACTGAGGAAATTAAGGAAGAAGTAAGACTGTTCTGAGAGTTAAGTAATAATGCCACTATAACATAACAGAACTTATGGGATATAATGAAAGAAGTCCTATGAGGGAAGCTTACAGTGGTAAATACCCACATCACAAAAATAGAACAAGCTTAAATAAATAACCTAATGAAGCATCTCAAGGACTTAGAAAAACAAGAACAATGCAAACCCAGAGCTTGTACAAGTAAAGAAATTATAAAAAACAGAGCAGAAATTAATGAAATGGAGACCAAAAATACAAAGAATCAATGAATAGAAGAGCTGGTTCTTTGTAAGAATAAATAGAATAGACAAACCTTTAGCCAATCTTACAAAAAAAAAAAAACAAGCAAAGACAAGACAGAAATCAATGAAATTAGACATAAAAAAGGTGAAATTACAATGGGCACTGATGACTCTACAAAATTAGCAATTACTTCACAAACATATATGGCAAAAAAACTGGAGAACTCAGAAGACATGGAGAAATTCCTAGATACATATGAATTGCCAAAACTGAGCCAAGAAGACTTAAAGATCTTGAACAATCCAGTAAGAGGCAATGAGATTGAGAAAAATAACCAACTAAGAAAAGACCAGTAGCTGATGAATTCCCCACCAAATTCTACAAGAACTTCAGGGAAGATCTAACACCAATAATCCTCAAACGTTTTAATGAAACTGAAAGGGAAGGAATACTTCTAAAATCTTTCTCAGAAGCTAACATTATCCTAATCCCCAAACCAGACAAGAATCCAATCAAAAAAGGGAACTATAGGCCAATTTCTCTATGATTACATATGCAAAAATCCTTAGCAAGATATTGGCAAATAGAATGCAACAAAGCATCAAAAAGATCATACACTATGACCAAGGGGGCTTCATCCCAGGGATGCAAAAATGCTTGAACACATGTAAATCGATAGGCCGGGGATTTAGCTCAGTGTTACTGCTGCCTGCCTCACAGCTGCAAGGTTCTGAGTTCGATCCCCAGTACCAATAAATGAATGAATGAATGAATGTAATTCATCACATAAACAATGCAAGGACAAAAATCACACGATGATCTCAATAAATATCCAATTTTGCATATGGTTTCTTCTGGGACAAAATTTGAGTTTTTCAAGTATTTCCACATGCCTTTTCCCCTAATTCTTACTATAAATCTGGTCCCACGCCACATCCTGGATATTAGGCTGTCTTAAAATTTCCTCTGCCAGATTAATACCACTGACCTTAAACTCGGTCTTCTTAGAAGTCTCAAGACGTGGGAAAATGTAGGCAAATTTTCTGCCAGAGCATTGCATGGCTTCTAGTCCAAATGCCAGGAGTATACTTGTTCCAAACTAAAATAGCCTGAGCCCAGCATTCAGTTCTTTTTTTAAACATTTTATTTAACATATATTGATCACATATACCATAGGGAATTAGTACCTGTACATAATATATCTTATTTCTTCTTTTTTTAATCTATTCTCCTCCACTCCTTTCAACCCTTCTTCCTCTTCCCACTTACACAGGGTTGTTTCCATTTTTTCTTTCTATTCTCTCTTTTTTCCTTTTCTCTTCCCTTCCTTGCCTTCCTTCCCTCCCTCTTCCTTTGTTCACCTCTTCTGAGCTCTGACCAGCACTGCCCATCAAGCACTATCACAACATTCTAGGGCTTCTCTAGCCTGTATCTCCAAACTTTTCCAAAGTCCTCCTGTAAATCAGTTCCAAAATGCTTATGAACCCCATAGTCAGATATGGTCACAGCAACAACTCCATTTCTCTAGTAAAAATTTTTCTGTATTATTCCACTTTCTTGTCACTAAGACACAAAATTCACCATGTATAACCAAAAGGAGACAGGTTTAATTTCTCACAGTTACAGTCTTTGAGGCAGGGACAACACGGCAGAAGGATATGGCAGAGCAGGAAGCAGAGCAACAGAAGAGTGCTGGAGCTGAAGGATGGGGAACCAGATATAGACCTCAAGGCAATGCCTCCATGATCTCACCAGAACACCCAGAAGCATGTGCCACTAATCCCTGGGGCAGATCTCAAAGCCAATCAAGTTGAAACTCCACCCCAGCTGCCACAACATTCACAAAAGTCAAAAAGTAGAAACATCCCAAATTTCTAACTGATGAACAGATAAGCAAAATATGATATATTGATACAATGAGATACAATAAAAAGAAATGGTGATATATGCTACAACATGGACAGACTCTGAAAACATTATGTTAGATGAAAGGAGACAGAAAATGCCATCACCTGAATGTATGCTACCATTTATAGGAACTACTCAGAATAGGCAAATCCACTGAGACAAAAGGCTGGAGGAAAAGAGCATGGGGCTTGAATGCAAAGTATGGGGTCTCTTTTAAGGATAAAAATATTCTAAAATTAGATTGCGGTAATCTTTTATTACTCTGAATATACTAGGAAATACTGTAATTAATTGTATACTTAATAGGTGAGCTTTTATGGTATGTAGATTATATTTAAATCAGCTATTTTTAAGTATTATGGAATCTTACAATGAATGTTTAATATTTACATAATTTAAAAGTAAAGCAGGACTGGGGATTTAGCTCAGTGGTGCTGCCACCTTCCTCGCAAGTGGAAGGTCCCAAGTTTGATCCCTGGGATAAAATAATAATAATAATAATAATAATAATAATAATAATAATAATA